CTAAGTTATTACTCACAGATGGCTCCGGGTGCAGACAGACAGAGCAGACTAATCAAACGGTTTACAGCACGTGACCTGCATCAACATATAACAAATACACATTTGAAACACACATTGGAATATACTTAACTTATTACGTTTTGTAATTAGTGTGTTTCTACATTTTACCCTCATTATTATGTTTTAATATTGGCTTAGGAATGCCTAGGATGCAACAAGGATGTCAAAATGCACTTGAACACATTTAACAAAACTTGCTGAAAACAGGGGTCTCGTTCGAGCTTGACTTCCCTCGCTCGAGCGGATATGCAAACATGTGAGAGGATGCTCGAGCGTAACTTTCCCCACTTGAGCGGTCTATAAACTTTACAAAAGTACTGGTTGTGAGAAATCTCAGCTCGATGGTTGCTCGACTCTCGCTTGAGCGTGAGACTCATGCCCCGCTTGAGCGCAACTATTGCCGCTCGAGCGGTCTGCAAAACATGCAAACTTCTAGGAGCATGCATTTCACGCTCAAGCAAACTTAAGGTCGCTCGAGTGGATATGCAAAACAAAGGTGGCCGCTTGAGCATAGAATATGTTGCTCGAGCGGAAGTGTATAATCTGGAATTTCCAAATTGCACTCCCAAGCTCCAAACTCGAATTCCATACCTCAAAACTCATCTTCTTGGGCCAAAATTTTGGAAAACATTTAGGAACTTGTAAGATATCATGGTTCGAAGATCATTTCATGAAATCAAGGTCCAAAAGTATGTCAATTGTGTAAAACCAAACTCAAACCTTTGAAAACATAACATGCATGAAGTATCTTGGTTCCAAAGCTTTCAAAACTTGATCACATGAGGTGTTTAACTCAAAAACTTGTTGAATTCTTAGGACAAGACTAAAATAAAGACATGCAAGAGGGATTTCTTTGAATTAACTACAAAATCATGAGAATTATGCATGCATGCAAGATATGGCTCAATTTCATCAATTTCAACTTAATTTTTGTGTCAACTAACTTAATTCTCTAGAGTTCATGCTCTACACATCATGATTATACAATCTAAGTTTTGAATTCTTACCTAGGCTTGTCAAGGTGAGAGCTAGAAGCTTGATTCTTGTGTCTCTAAGTCTAATTCCTTCAATTTCTAGTAAATTCTTCCCAAACTTAAGTGTGAACATCAAACCCTCACTCTTGGTCTCTTTCTTCTACTCTCTCTCACGGTTGGTGTCAACAAAATGATGAAGAAATGTGAGTTGAGATACATAAAGAAGCCTTGTATAGGCTTGGTTAGTGGACTAATTAATTAGGTTTACCACTAATCAAATGAGCATTAATTATTCTAATTATTTCATTTCGAATCGAATTTCAATTGAATCTACCATAAAATTCTAAAAATTCTAATTAGCACATAAATCAAGTCAATTTCTGAATTGGATGCCGATAAGGCCTTTAATTCGCAAACCGAAACGAAAACATAAACAGATCTTTTTACGCTAAATAGATATAAACACAAATAAGACAACATATGATGCAAAACTTCACTTTTCTTATTAGGCATAATTAAGCATGGATTAACCTTAATCATGGGTCGGGGTTGTCACAGTGTTAATCTCTGTGAATGCGGAAACTGAAATTGAATACTCCAAGCATGGTGAAAAGAATTATTAGCCTATGTTTATTATTGCTTTGTTTACTTATAGCAACATGGAGAATGTAAGGGGAAATGATACAAGTGAATCTTCTGAGGCCCGAATGAACATAATGGAACAGATACTTGCGACTTTGATCGAAGCCATGATGCAATAACTAAGACAACAATCTTTACCTCATCCGCCTCCGCTGGTGCTAATTGAACCAGACAATAATGACATCATCAACTTGACTCAGAAATTATGAAAATGAAACCACCGACCTTCTTGAGTGGTATTGAACCCTTAAAGGCGGAAACATGGTTGTTTGAGATAGAGAAATTGTTTAAAGTATTGCCTTATTTTGAGACACAAAAAGTTCTTTTGGCCATATACACTTTAAAAGATGAAGCGCGAAGATGGTGGTTGTTAATCCAAACTAACAATGGGAATATGACATGGACTCAGTTCAACGAGATCTTCTATGACAAGTATTTTCCTCAGTGTTTCAGGGACCGAAAAGTTTTTGAATTCCAAGAACTTAAGCAAGGTAGGATGTCTGTAGCCGAGTATGGGGCTAAGTTCACAGAATTAGCTCATTTTTTCCCTCACATGGTGGATACGGATTACAAGAAAGCCCGCAAATTTGAAGGTGGATTGGATCTCGATGGATTTGATAGAGTGGACGTCTTGAAATTGTCTACTTATGTGGAAGTACTAGATAGGGCATTGATGGCAGAAGCCATTCTAGCAACAAAGAAACAAGCTCCAGCCCCAACAACTGAATGGAAGGGTAAACGGTCCAAATTTAATTTCAAGAATGGCCGATCCTTTTCAAAAAGGCAGAATACGGGGTCCTCCAGCAGCTCTAGCCAAAGTAGTGGCTCTGTTTCGAACTGTCCTGATTGTGGAATAAGGCATAAAGGCATGTGTCATCGTGTCTCAGGTACGTGTTTTCGGTGTGGCAAGACTGGCCACATGATTCGAGATTGTCCGCTAAGATTTGATAATGCTAACCGCCCTGCCACAAGTTCAGTCAAGTCCGCTCCTACAACAAGGACCAATGCAAGAACTGATACCAAGAGTAATACTGGAAATGAGACGCTGAGGCAAATGAGAGTATTTGCATTAGTGCCTGGAGATGTGCAAAACACCGAATCTGTGGTGTCAGGTATAATCTCTATCTGTGCTCAGAATACTTATGTGTTGATCGATTCTGGTTCCACACATTCGTTTATATCGCATGCTTTTTCTCAGAAGTTAACTAGACCATTAGAACCTATGAACTATTTATCGTCTGTGTCTACACCATCTGGAGGTTCTATGATATGTGCTTATGTATATCCAGCATGTGATACTGTGATTGGTGATATGGCGTTGTATGTTGATTTGCTGCCTTTGAGCATTGATTATTTTGATTGTATTCTGGGTATGTATGGGTTAACGAAATACTATGCCACCATTAATTGTGTGAGTAAATCTATCGTGTTTAGACCACCTGGTATGCCTGAGTTTGTTTTCACTAGAAATGGGGTAGTTCATCTGCCGTCTTTGATTTCATTTATGAAAGCCAGGAAGTTGTTAAGGAAAGGGTGTCGGGGTTACTTATGTTGCATTTTGACGGCGACTTCTGATAGCTCTACTGTTGAGAACATCTCTGTAGTAAATGAATTTCCTGATGCATTTCCTAATGACCTACCTGGGGAGTTAATTGATAGGGAAATTGAATTCACCATTGATGTAGTACCCGAGACACAATCAATTTCTAAAACCCCTTACAGAATATCAACCTTTGAACTGAAAGAATTAAAAGCTTAACTCTAAGAACTCTTAGACAAGAAATTCATCCGCCCAAGCACTTCACCTTAGGGTGCTCCAGTCCTATTTGTTAAGAAGAAAGATGGGTTCTTGAGATTGTGTATAGATTACCAGGAATTGAATAGAGTAACTATCAAGAAAAAATACCCACTACCCCGAATAGATGATCTATTTGACCAACTTCAGGGAGCACAAGTGTTCTCCAAGATAGACCTTAGATCCGGGTATCACTAGTTAAAGGTCAAGGCAGAAGATGTAGAGAAAATGGCATTCAAAACTAGATATGGACACTATGAATTTTTGGTAATGCCATTTGGGTTAGCTAACACACCTGCAGCGTTTATGGACCTAATGAATAGGGTTTTGAAACAATTCCTTGATGAGTTTATCGTTATATTTATTGATGATATACTGATTTACTCCAAAAGCAGGGAAGAACATGAAAATCATCTGAGAACTACCATGCAAATCCCAAGAGAAAAGAAATAGAATGCAAAACTTTCCAAATGTGAATTTTGGTTTGACAGTATAGCATTTCTGGGACATGTGATCAACCAGGATGGTATATCGGTGGAACCACAGGAAATTGAAGCCATTGTAGACTGGCCAAGACCAACCAATGTGTTGGAAATTTGAAGTTTTCTGGGGCTTGCAGGTTACTAATACTATCGTAGGTTTGTGAAAGATTTTTCAAGACTTGCCATGCCATTAACCCAGTTGACACAGAAAAATGTACCATTTAATTGGAATGATCAATGGGAGTCAACCTTTCAAGAATTGAAAACTAGACTGGTAACTGTACCAATTCTGACATTTTCCAACGAAACCGATGGGTTTCATATTTATAGTGACGCTTCATACAAAGGTTTGGGATGTGTGTTAATACAAAATGGAAGGGTAATTGCCTATGCTTCTTGGCAACTTCGACCACATGAAAAGGACTATCCGACCCACGACCTTGAATTTGCAGCTGTGGTCTTTGCTTTGAAAATCTAAAGGATGTCCATAGCAAGTATGAGGCTAAGCTCACTGAGTTAGCCAGATTTGCTCCTCATATGGTCGACATAGATTACAAAAAGGCTCGAAAATTTGAAGGGGGCTTAGATCTGGACGTGTTTGATCGAGTATGCGATCTGAAGCTGCCTATATATGTGGATATGCTTGACAGAGTATAATTGGCAGAGGCCACTCTGGCAGCAATGAAACAAGCTAAAGCTCCAATAACTGAATGGAAAGGGAAGAGATCCAGATTCAATTTCAAAAAGGGCGGTCATTTTCAAATAAGCAAAACACGGGATCCTTTAGTACCTCTAGTCAAAGTAATAGATCTAAGCTAGTTTGTTCTGAGTGTGGGAGGAAGCATAAAGGCACGTGTTACCATGCATCAAGAGCTTGTTTTCAGTGTGGCAATACTGGCTACATGATTAGAGATTGTCCGATGAGATCTGACGATGTTAAACGTCCTGCGTAAGTTCAGCTGTATCTGCTCCTGTACCAAAACCAAATGTGAGAACCAACACCAGGAGAGAAACTCTGAGGCAAGGCCGAGTTTTTGCATTAGTACCTGGTGATGCACAGAACACTGAGTCAGTGGTGTCAGGTATGATCTCTATGTGTGTTCAACGTGCCTCCCAGGAGAGGCAAGGTTACTCCGGCCTAGGAGAAACAAAGTTACTCCGGCCATGGAGGTAAAATTACTTCGGCTCAGGAATTATAAAGATACTTCGGTCCGGGAATGATTTAGAGTTATACCGGTCTTGGAGTCATACCGGCCGAAAGTCATTGGTTCGGTCTAAGACCGTACCATTGGTTGTACATGGGAGAACCGATATAAGGATGGAGTTAAAATTGGAACCGAACTAAGAATAGTTCGGTTTACTCAGTGGCTCTGCATCGCCAAGCTTATTTCGGTCATATAGTAGTTCGGCCAAAGTAAAAACCATCCCACTTGGTTTAAGCAGTGGGGGAGGGTGTAAAAGGATAAGCATTATCCTTAGGAGTATGAATCCTAGGAGGACTCTGCATGGAGGAATAAAAGTCTTACTAGGATTATGCCACTCGAAACCTATAAAAGCTCACAAGCATCACCTTGGAGGAGGTAACATAACACCACATACAATTTTGTTTTCTGAACACATTGAGCTTTGTCTATTTGTCAAGTTTTCTGACTTAGGCATCGGAGAGGTTTCCGGCACACACCCGCCGGCTAGCTCACGTTTGTGTTTTCAGGTGACAAAGCGACGTCGTACGGAGGAGCGTGGACTTAGTCAACAGGATTATACGAGGAGAATTATTTCTTCCCCGTACAATTGGCGCCGTCTGTGGGAAGAACAGACAAGAACAAAAAACCTCTTGACTAAGCTTCTCCTTTTCTCAATCAATGGCACACATTGAAGAACTACCGCAGTCCGCCGTCGACGGGCTAACTCCAGATGGGGGCACAAGGCGAGAAGGATTACCCTCTGTCCCTCCTATGGCAGATTTGGAGCCCCAACAACATAACTCCAGGCGGAGTGGCAGGGGAATGAGGAATAACAGCCCTCGTCACTCTCAAAGTCCTGACAGGCAAAGGAGGAGGATTGATCCCCAAGCCCTGGAAGATCGCGTAAAGGAGCAAGATGAACTAATTCGGAAGATGGCGGCGGACATGGAGGCTTTGAAACGCCAGATGAAGACTAAAGATGTGGCGACAGGAGAGGGGCGCAAGAACAAGACGCCCCCTCGCCACTCAGAGAATCGTAGTAGGAACACTACACCCTCACAAGGAGAGATCAGAAGCCTCAGGACAGGCGACACTCAATCCTTGTCTTCCAGAACTCGTCACTCTAGGTTTGAGAGGACGAGATCTGAGAGATCATACACTGAAGGAAGCACGTATTGGCCTTCACATTCACACCAAACCAGATCTAGACAGACATAGCTGCCCAGGCCATCCGACTTACGAACCGTGCTTGAAGAAAAAGCACGATGCAAGGAGGATGCCAGGGCAAGGGATCCACACCGAGTTTTTGCCTTACAGCGGTTGGCTCCTCGGACGCATGGAAGCGTCGAGGTTGGAATGCCAATACCGCGCCCTGTCTACGAACCAACGGACAAAGTCTTAGCAAGACTACAGACTTCGCCGTTTGTTCCAGCAATCGAAAACGCGCCCCTACCATCAGGCTTCCTTCAGCCGAAATTCACCACATATGAAGGGAAGACAGACCCGTACTCACACTTGAGCCACTTCCGCCAAGTCATGGCTGTATACAGACGAAACGAGGCCTTAATGTGCATACTCTTCCCGTCAAGTCTTGGCGACCTAGGCTTGACTTGGTTCGAAAAGCTCCCAGAGGGCAGCATAGCCTCCTGGGCCCAATTGGCAGAAGCGTTCGTAACGAGGTTTCGAACAAATACTAAAACACCGGTGGAGATAGACCAATTACTCTCCATCGACATGGGTGAAAAAGAGACCCTCAGATCTTACAACAGTCGCTACGGGGAGACATTCAACCAGATTGGAGACTGCCCCACCAATCTAGCCATTGCCCAGTATAAAAGAGGCCTTCCAGTCGGAAACAGACTAAGGGACTCGATCACCATGACGCCACCCCTCACTATGGAAGCCCTGATGGAAAGAGTACATCAGCACATCAGGGTAGAAGAGGATGACGCACGTGCTAAAGTAAAATCTAGTGCAACCGCAGTACCAGAAAAGAAGACCTCAGCAAAGGTCAATACAGTAGATCGGCAGAATAAAAACGGGCGTGGCAAACGAGATAACGGAGAAGACCTAGACAAAAGATGGTTAAGAATCCGCACTGCCATAACAACGGTGTTCAAAAAACCAATATATCGGATTCTGAGCGAAATAAAAGATGAGCCTTTCGTCAAGTGGCCAGCCAAGCTAGGGGAAGCTCAGAAAAATTACGACGACAGATCACGGTGCACCTTCCACAAAGAAAAGACGAACCCTTTTGCAGCTCGGCTGCTGTTTACTATTACAAAGCACTACTTGGACATGATTTGGTATCCTAATACCTCTTCAATCGTTCCAGCTTCGTTAGGGAACCATATCACTTGATGGTAGGTTGATGCTATCACCCACATGCCATGCAACCATGTTTTTCCCAAGATTATGTTATAAGTGGAAGGGACTTTCAATATCCAAAACTCCACTTGTTTTGTCATTGTTCCAGCTTTGACCGGTAAAATTATCTTGCCAACAGGCCATTCTGGCATTGAGTTGAAACCGACCAAGGGGGATATCGCGGATGCTAAATATTTGTCCTTTAATTTGAGTTGCTTGAAGGTCTCATAATAGTGGCCTTGTTCCCTTA